TATATATGAAAAATATATCAAAAATGCATGTGAGTACTTAAATGAAAGCTCTTAATGAGTGTAACATCGGGATGAGCTTATATCTTCAAAAAGGTCAATAGTTAAGATATTACAGCGCATTTTGTAATTTATTAATTGATAATAGCAATTTTCATTCGTATTTAATCCAAAAATTAAAAAAAAAAAATAAATAACTTGTTCTCAAATTTTCTCCTAAAAAATTGAAAAATAAAAAATTTTCTTTTTTTAGAAACAATGTTACAATTGACGAAGTAGCAGCAGCAACAGCAAGTATAACTCAACCGGAGGTATTATCTCCAATCAGTCTCGAGCACTGCGCAGAGCAGATACTGAACGGCATAAAGAAGGAAGTACAAGTGCAGTACTTAATGCCAATAATGACAGTCCAGAGAGAGGACCCAGAAACCGGACACAGACACCTGGAGCTCAGCGCCAACAAGCAAACCGGAACCGATTTCCTGAACCCAGTGGCCAAAGAAGTCGTCGCCGAGGAGTGTGGGCTCATTGGGGAGAGCTACCTAGTCACAGACCTCAACCCTTCAGCCCTAGGTCTTAATTTCATTGAACCCGAAACAATAACCCCAGATCACTTGTTCGGCGAAGAACTGAGCTTCCAGTTCTACGAATTGACTTCGCCCTCGCAGCTCCAGTCAGCCTGACACTCGGAGAAAAATCAACTCCGCGTGATATTGATCGACGGGAGCAAAGTTTTGAGAGTCGGTGACTGCTCTAAAGACCTGGATGAGTCTCAGTCAGCTGGACTGAATCCAAAGGAAGAATCATTGACGAACGTCGTTAACAGCTGATTAAATTAATTAATTTTTTATGGTACTTAAATTAACAGACATTTGTCAATTTTTTGATTTTTAAATTATGACTTCTAAATTATCAAAAAATTTTATTTTTAAAATTTTACGTTTAGAATTTTAAATTAAAATTTATTTAAAAAAATTTCTTTTTAATAAAGTAAAAGACCCAGTTATTGACACTGGTCTAATTGTTTGACACTTAAAATTTTATTTTAATTCAAAAAATAATAATTCATTATCTTAAAATTAAAAATTCAAAAATTATATTTATTAATTTATTATAGTTGATTTTTTTTTTTTAATTACAAAAAAATTGCAAGTGTCAATAATTGGGTCTTTTACTTTAAGGGGGTCTTTTGGTTCGATGTTCTGATTTTTGAGCATTTTTTTGTGAAGACCTAGGAAGAGATAGAACTTTGAAATTTTTACCATTTATTTTTGCATATTTCAAGAGTATACAATTAAATTTTTAGCTGAAAACATTCATTAGAATTAAAGTTATAGTGGATTCAAAAACACCCATCTCGAAAAAAAATTGACGCTCATTTGATTGGCTCATCTGAAACAAAAAAACCTGGCAGGGTTTTAATCTGCATACTTAAATACACCGAGTGGAATACGATCAAAAAAAAAATTTTGAAAATTGGATTTTCAACAGGTTTTGGAACAAAAAAGACCAAATTTCATATTTTTTTTTGTCAACTTTTTGATACAAAAAACATAAAAATTTAAAAACCCCGCCAGGTTTTTTTTATTTTAGATGAGCCAATCAGCTGATCGGTTGTCCAATTTTAAAACACAGTAACTGCAAAATTTTTATACCTAATTTTTTTTTTTTAATATTGCTGCATTTTTTATAACTTTTAGATCTTAATTTTAAGTATTTTTTCTTAAAAATATTTATATTCAAGTATTTTCTATTTATAAATCATATTTTTCATCAATTTGGCAAGCAAACTTTTTTTTGAATAAGAAAAATTTCTAAATGTTAGTTACTGTGTTTTGAAATTGGGCAGCCGTGATATCATGGAGGAAGTGAGCGTAATTTTTTTCAAGTTGGGTGTCTTCAGACCACTATAACATCAATTTTACTTAATGTTTTTAGCTAAAAATTTAACTGTATACTCTTGAAACATGTATAAATAAATGGTAAAAAGATCAAAGTCCTATCTCTTGATTGGTTTTTACAAAAAAATGTTCAAAAATCAAGGCGTCAAACCAGAAGAAGACTCCCTTAATTGATTTGTAATAAAAAAAAAAAAAAAAAAAAAAAATTGTCAGATGTTTGAAAATTTTAGTATCATAATTATCTTACTGTCAGTGACTTATTTTTATCGATAATCAATCCATTTATTTATTTATTTATTGATAAATAATATTTAATTAATCATAGTTTTGGAAATGGTGTTTGTAATACTGATGTTGATGACAATGAAGCTTTAATCATTGAATTTATCTTATTATATATGCTTGAGTGTGTTGATACGCTAAAATAATTCAATTTATAAAATTAATAATTATTTCTAGTCTTAATCTTAATCTTAATATAATTAATAAATATTCATTAAATTACCCTTTTTTTGTATTAGCCAGATAAAAATATATAAACTACCGAAAAATTTTATAAATGCCTTATAAATATTCAATTTTATGGAAATAAAATACACCAGTTGTAGTTTTTATTTCAGCAATTTTATATCAATAATTAATAATAATAATAATATATATATATATATATTCATCTAGCTAGTTTCACTTTTAGCGCTCTCTTCAGCAGGTTTATTTTTTAAGTTGAGAGAATTGCTTGCTGTCAACAATCTTTCCATAGTCTTGGCAGCGTGAGCCTGTTTCTTCAATGCTTTCTTGCGCTTCTTGTCCTCCTTTTCTTTTTCTTCTAGCAGCTGCTTGAACCGTTCGTCACGAGGGTCTATGTCGAAACCTACTGCACGACGTACTTCCGCGACCAGGCGATCCTTGCGCTCCTTTATCGCGCGAATTTCAGCTTCCTTTTTAGCAAGTTTAGCTTCCAGGTCCTTTTGCCATGTGGAGACTTTCATCAATTTGGCATCAATCTCTTTTTCTCTGTAAATAAAATTAAATAAGTATCGGTTCATCTAATATCGTGATAATTAAGATAAATAAAAATATCTAAACGTGTAAAATAAAATTTTTTTGTTAATAATTTTAATAATAATAATCATTTTGTTAGTGAATTTTGTTAAATTGCACTGTACTTTCTTAAACATTGACGTTTTTAAAGATATAAGCTCATCCCGATGTTACACTCATCAAGAGCTTTCATTTGAGTACCCACATGCATTTTTGATATATTTTTCATATATACATATATATAATATATATAAATATATGAAAAATTGATGTGGGTACTCAAATAAAAGGTCTCGATGAGTGTAAAGTCGGAGTGAGCTTATATTTTTAAAAATTTCAATAGTTTACAAGATACAAGGTCATTCTTAATTATTGACATTTTTAAAGATGTAAGCTCATCCTGATGTTATACTCATCAAGACCTTTCATTTGAGTACCCACATCAATTTTTCATATATTTGATATATTTATGTATATTACATATATGTATATATGAAAAATATATGAAAATGCATGTGGGTACTCAAATGAAAGCTCTCGATGAGTGTAACATCAGAATGAGCTTATATCTTTAAAAATGTTAATAGTTTACAAGATACAAGGTCATTTCTTAATTATGTTTCAGGAGATAGAGCATTTTTTATCACAAATTTTAATAAAAATGGAATTAGCAGTCATACAATAATTTTTAGAATTTTTTCTTAATAAACTAATCATTATAAGAACATTAAAAAAAGATACAAATGTTATTTTTGAAAAATATTTCGCAGATCAAAAAAATCATTATTAAGTAAAATAAAAGATTAATTTGATATCTGCTGATGTAATTTTATGAAAAACTTCAAAATAACTATAAGTATCGTACTGGAACTAGCAGATGGTTCAAAATTTTTTGTTCTTTTTTTATTAATTAAATTAGAATTTAAAAAATTATTATTAAAAAATTGCACCCATTGTTTTTCAAATTTTTTACAAATGGAATTTTTTTGTTAAAAATTTATGAACAAAAAAAATTTTTTAAATTATTAGATGTCTGCTACCTAGTTTGAAATAAAAATTTTAAAAAATTATTCAAATGTCAGCTGATAAATTTAATAAAATAAAAACTGACCTTTTCAAAATTTTCTCAGCATTTTCCTTATTCTTTTGAGCAATTAAATCCCAACTTTCCCACAAGGAATTAGGATAGGCTGTCTTCTCCCACTCGAGCCTGTCCTCAACCTCTTCCTTGATGGGCCAAACACATCCAGCAGGAACATCAAGTGCCTCGATACCATGCCTACCCAGCATCCGCTGCTTGTACCTGACGGAGTTGTGGTACCAGTCCCAATTCTGATTATGAGGCTTCAGCCCGTGTAATTTATTCCGATCAAAATTATTGAGCTTTGATTTGTTGCGCTTTTGTAAAATCTCCTGCTCTTGCTCTTCTGTTAAAAATTCACCGTACTTTGGAGTTTCCTCAACGGAGGTTATGTCTATAGATTCATCTTTCCACTCTTCTTTCACGTACCATCTTCGAGATAAAATTCTAGGTAGTCCATTTATGGTTAGCCGCGATAGCAATAGAGAACTCGAATTCATAATTATTTAATAATTAATTTCACTTAACAAAAAAAAAAAAACAGAGTTGTATTTTTTATTTTATATATAACCAACTTTACTTTCGGTCTTTCGGTGAATTGTTTTGAATGATAGTATATTTTATTGACGTTAGTAGCGCTGTTGTTAATGTCTGAATTAAAAAAAAAATATTTGCCTTTCACTTACAAAATTATTATTAAATTTTTAGAATTTTTGTTACAAATAAATTATGGCAAAAAAATATGACATTAAAGTTAGCTGTCTATTAACAATTTTCTTATTTTTTTTAAGAAAAAAATTTGTTCCAACAAATTATTTAAAAAAAATTGCATTTTTTAATTTTTTAAATTTCTACATGTCAATTTTTTTTGCCATAATTTTTTTGATATAAAATTCTTAATATTATTAAATATATGCTAAATTAATTTTCATAAAAAAATTGACACGCAAAAATTTAAAAAAATTAAAAATGCAATTTTTTAAAAATAATTTTTGGGAATAAATTTGTTTATGAAATAAAATTAAAAAAATTGTCAAGTAATTGTTAACTTTAATATAATTTATTAAATTTCTTATTGTTAAATTTGTGATACATTTGAAATTTTTTATTGAAGTACATTAAAAATATTAAATTATTATTTTCTTATTATATTAAAAGATTTTATTATTAAATAATATTTTTCACAACTTTCAAGTACAAATTAAAGATATTAAATATTAAATCCTTTTATAAAAATACTATTCCAGTCTTAGACTTAAGTTAAAAATTTTTGTGATACTATTAAGTTATCTACTATTTAAATTTCACTTAATTTGAAATCTAAACTTACAAGTAATGTATCGTTTATCAGTATAAAAATATTTTTTCTTTGATATCTTTTTACAACTAGATTAATATAAATATTTTGAATAAATATTTTAAATTTGGACGACTTGAAATTTTTAACTTAACATTAATTAGTATTTAATAATAATGAATGCTGGAATGTTAGAGCTGAGTCTTATGAATATTAGTTAATCTCCGCATTTATATGTATTACATACACATTTGTCTCACAATGTCAGACGTAAGATCTTCCATAATCAGATGCTTCTTGTTGCTGCACCCGACAATAGGGCATCTAATTAAAAAAATATATCATTTATTATTGTATATTATATATATATATTATAACTAAAAAAAAAAAACACCTAAATAAAAAATTAAAATTAAGTTAGCCGACATTTAAAAATGTTTAGAATTTTTTTTTGACAAAATTACATAATATAATAATAAAAAAAAATTTTTCATTTATAAAAAACTTGAAAAACTGTAAGTGCAATTTTTTAAAAATATTTTTTAGCTATAATTTAATAAGAGATAATAAAATTTAAAACCTCGGCTAACTTTAGTATTATAAATAAATAATAAAAATACACCTAGTAGCAGCGTTTCCTTTTAACAAGGCAATAATACTAGCTTTATCATAAACATGACCACAAATATTATTCTTCATCGGTTCAGTCATTCGCACTTTACTTATTGGACAAATTAAATTTGCACCGTCCTCCTCTGTCATTTGCATGTCTGCATCTTCATCATCACCGCCACCTTCAGTGCTTTTTCCTCCGGCTAAATCTGAGTTAAATATAACATTTATAAAATTATATATTTCACACAATATTATTAATTAATATCATAATTATATATTTTTTTTTTTAATGAGCTATTTGTTTGTGAATAAGCTTACTCTTCTTCAAGTCAGCAACACGTGTGTCGTATTGTTTTAAAAATTCATTTCTTGAAGAATCCAGTTGAAATGATGAAACTCCATCATTAAAATTCTAAAAAATAAAAAAAATATCTAAATAAGCAAATAAATTATTTAAAAGAAGTAATAAAATGTTTTTTAATTATTATTTAGTTTTTAAAATACTAAAAATAAAATTATGTCAGAAAATATACTTTAAGAATTTCTTCGATATCAGTGTCAGAATTTCCAGATGATAATCTGCTGATTAATCCATTGATATTTTGAAACTTCTGTGAATTTTCGGTATAGTTTTGGACATTGCTACGAAGAGCGTCCAGCAATTCTTGTTTACTGTCATCATCTAAGAGAAAAATAAATAATTCATCAGTTTAGAATTTATATAAAATATTTATAATTATTACAATTTAGTCATGAGTTAATGAAAAAAATAAATGAATAAATTACATACCGGCGTAGCTGATGACATGAGCTGCTGTTTTAGCGATGCTGTCACAAATATTTGGAAGTAATTTCTCAAATTCACTCATTTTTTAAGTTAAAAATAATTTTTACTTTATAATTAACTATATTGTAATTAGTTTCAAAAAAGAATAGCGGATGAAAGCGCTAAATTAAGAGATGAAAATTCTGTTCTGATACAAAAGGTTATGTTTTGCGCAACGGGCGAATTTTTTCAGGTTTACCTCCTTTTCGTATAAACAAAAGAATACGCAGTACGCAACTGATAATGAAGGTATTTTAAATGAAAAGACAAAACTCATCGCGCCATCTATGGAAAAATTTTTGTACTATCCGAAAATTTACTAAAATGATAAAGAGAAAATTTTATCATCAATCTACAAATTTAGAAAATTTAAATAAGGTAAAAGACCCAGTTATTGACACTGGCCTAGTTGATTGACACTTGCAATTTTATTCTAATTAAAAAAATAAAATGTTCTCAAAAAATCAATTATCTAAAAATTTATAATTCATAAATTATATTTATTAATTTATTAAAGTCGATTTGTTTTATTTAATTAAATAAAATAAAACTGCAAGGGTCAATAACTAGTTCAGTGTCAATAACTGGGTCCTTTACCTTATAGTTTCCTAAAAAAATTAACAATAATAATATTCTTCAAGTATGAAACTATTTTAATTAAATTTTTGATATTACAGGATTGAAAATTCTTGAAATTTAAATACCTAATAAATTATAAAAAAAAAAAAATTTAATAATTCGCACGTAAGAAATTTATTTCAATTAATTATAAAAGTACAATAAAATATAATGTAAAAATAAAAAAATATATTATTAAATTCAATCAATATTAAGCTGCCGAAATGATCCTTGAATTCCGCTAAGTTCACGTGTGAAAGATGAAGAAGAAGAAGTTGGCATCCTCACTTTTTCATCAGTTTTGCTCAATGATTCTTCTTCTTTGAACCAATCTCGGTATTTTTCAATCTTTTTTTTCCACGCGTCTAAATCAGTAACAAAATGAATGATTTAATGGACAAAAAAATAAAAATATGAGAATCTTACATGAAAATTAAGTTAGCCGACATCTGAAAATTTTTTTTATTTGTAAAAAAGTTGAAAAACTATAATTGCAATTAAAAAAAAAATTTTTTAGTTTTAACTTAAAAAATTAAAAAATTATTATGACTCTTACCGTTCAATTGTTGAAATGTTCCAGCATTACCTTCCCATTCTTTAGGCAAAATTTCTTTGTTCATATAAGGCCAAAGTTCTTCACCGCCTCCCGTATGTATACGGAACTAATTATAGATAATTTATTAATTATTTAATTAACAAAAACTTTATTACTTACTGCAGGAGTGATATAAAAAAAAAAAAAGTAGAGTACCTTTTCAACTAATTTTGGCTTGAGTAGAGGGTAGAAAATATTGAGAAGATTGTGAATAAATGTCGGAGCGTTTAAGAAGTAAACTCTGTGCAAACGTAATGGCATACTGTCTTGGGCAGCGAGCATTGCTTTTCTTACTAGCGCTTGTGTAGGGCTACATTTAGCGATATGCGCTGCCGTAAATCCCTAAGAAGTTTTCAATTTTTAGTAATTAAACTTCTTAAATAATTTATAACTTACTAAATAATTATTCAACATTATTCTAAGATCGGTAATTTTATTTATTCAAGAGCATTTATTATTTTAAGCCAACTCGACTCAATTTTTTTATTTATTAATTTATAATTATTAAATTAATAAATAAAAAAAATTGAATACTCTACCATCAAATAGCTTCGGGTTGATAATGTTAGAAATATTTACTAAATAGTTACTAAATGATTAATTAAAATTCTTTTACCCGGAAATTAAGTCTAGAAGTTTGAAATTTATAATTAAGATATAAATAAACTTATCGAAAATCTAAAAAAAGTTTTACTCATCCCGTATAAATTATTTCCTGACAGTAAAAGTGAGATACTGATGTATAAAAAGAATTTTTTTACATAATCAATTCATTCATAAACATGTGTATAATTTTTTTTTTGATCAATCAATAAAGATAATTAGCATTAATAAATAGTCAATCAATTTTACTTCATACTCTATCATTAAATAAAATTTATACATTATTATTATTTTGTTTTAAATAAATATTCATCATTAAACAATAAAATAACATAAAATTTAAAAATTATTTTCACTACAATATAAATTACCATAAAAAAAAAAATCTTTAAAGTCTCCAATAAAGTCATTAAACTTTCAATTAACACTCGTTAAAAAAATGAAAGTAAGCGAAAATAAAGAAATTTAAGGACAACTTTTCAACGCAAACTATTATGAATTGACAGGAAAATAAATTTGCTCAAGGCTAATAATTTATGAACATAAATGTTTAATAAATAATAATAATAATTCAAATGATTTTGTGAGAATGTGGCCAGTAAAGAATGTGGAATATAAATAAATAAATAAGCAGTTAATTAAGTATAATATAATACAAGTGAATATACCGATTATTGATTACCTCAAGATCAAAAACCATCTGATTTGAAAGACAAGCTTCCTCTGTTAATCTTGTATCCATTACCATAAGTATACGCCTTGTAATTGCTTGGACGGAAAACTTATTGATATCCTTGTCTTTCAAGCGCAATACTGTCACACGATGGCCTTCATCTGTTAGCGATGGTAACACAAAGTATTCGCTGGTACATGTAAATATTTATTAAATTAATATTATTTTAATTTTAATTTTTTTTTAAATACAATTCTATAAAAAATTTTGACAATTTTTATTTGTAGTCATATAAATTGGATAAAATCTAAAGAAGAAATGAAAAAAATAAATGTAAATTTTTCAATTAAAAGAGAAAACTCCTGACCTGGGTCATCCGTTTAATTAATGCAAAATTTGCAAAAGTTAAGTTTAATTTAATGACTCAAATTTTTAGAAAAAAAGAGAAAATTTCTGTCAATATTTTAACTCTTTTATTTATTTTAATTTTAGCCTTAATTTTTCTTTATTTACTTGCAAGATTTAAAATCTTTATCTCAAATATTTATAAATATTAAACGGAAATGGGCTTGACTTACATGACTTTGCAGCATTCTTGCACATCACGTGACATCGGGTCTCTCTGCAAAAAAAATTCCGGAAGCGCGGTTCTCGCTGTGAAATATCTCTCTAAAATCATCTTGCAACGCTCGATACTGTTTTTACAACCAAATAAAAATTTTTCCAGTCTGTCATTGTCTTCAAAAAGAAAAAAAAGTTAATTATTAATTCTAGATTACTCAAATAATATTTTTAAAAATTATAACTATTTAAAAATTTCAAAAAATTACTTCCGTAAAAATATGGAGTTAGATTTATTAAAATTCGCTATTATAATTAAATCTGATCAAATTTAAAGATAAATTTTCTAAGGGAAAATTAATAAATTAATTAATTAAATAATTACCCATATGTTTTGGTAAATGAGGCTGTTTCATCAACCACTCACGCAGTGCTTGGACATCTTTGCGCCTAATTTCAGGATCAGGCGGTATTTCTTGATTTATTATTTTTTGTTGTTCCGGTGTCGGAGGTAGTAAAGTCATTTTTACTATAAATTATTTTCCGTCGAGGAATAAATGAGTAAAAAATTAAAAAACTGTATTTTTATGTGAAAAAAAAGTTTCACAATAAAAAAAAAAATCAGATTTTTAATAAAAAAAAATTTTGATGCCCGATTTTATTTAAATAAGTATTTTTTACCGCACCCAAAAATTTATTTTTAATGCAACAAAATTCTTACTATTAACAAAAAGAAATTTATTCACCCAATTATACTTATAAGTATTTTTTGATCCCTTCCAAAAATTAAAAATCCTGTTGTTTGATGTTTAATAATAATAATAATAATAATAATAATAATAATAATAATAATAATAATAATTTTTATTTAAACTTGATAACGATTTATTTTAAATCATTAAATTTGTTTGAAAATTTCATCTTTGAATTCTTAAAACACGTCTGAAGAATATTTGCACAAAATTTCGATATCAATTTTAAATATTTCAATGTTTAAAATCAGTCAATCACGTATAAAGTTATCCTTTTATTCAAATATTTCATCACTTAAACTAATAAAAAATTCCAATCAAAATTTATTTGTATCCGTAATTAGCTGTTATATGCCTTCTATAATTAATCACAAAAAATAACGAGTGTGTAGAAAAAAAACTGGTTCAAGCTTTAAAAAAAAATATTGATTCAATTTTTCCTTAATTAAAAATTTAAAAAAAATCCACAAAAGTAAAATTAAAACTGAGAAAAGTCTTAAAAAAATTTTGAATTTTAATTAATAAAAAAAAAATAAAAATACTAACTGAGTTTCCACCAATTAAATTATTGAATAGAGTCAACACGTAACTAGGTACAAGACATATACTCTCGATCTCTTTCGACCAGAGAATGCCATTACATCGCCTCTCACAAAAACTTCGACATCAATATCGACTTTTTTCCCCTCCAAACATGCAATAACACCGCGTATTATATGTTTATAAAAATGACTAACGAGTTTAATGCATTTGGTATCTGATCAGATAATTTTTAAACATATAAAGAGATATTTATTACCTTTTCAAATTGATACAAGGTTTCACTTTTCCAAATTTCGGTCAGTTTTACACGCATGGAAATTAACAATTTTCATTTTCTGAGATTTGAATTTATTTTAAAAATTCATGAATGAAAAAGAAAACAAAAATTAAAAAGTAGGACACAAATTTATACGGATGAGCTGTCACATTCTCTGCTGGCCACTGGGACACGTACGACCTGAGTAAACGTGCATAGTATGAAGAAAAAATTATTAGTGACCGAAAGTGATTTTTTAATTCATTAGTCTTTTAAATAAAAGTATAAAAATTCAAAATTTAATTTATCTTTCTTGTCAAAAAAAAAAAAAAACAAACTTTCACTGAAAATTGTTTTGGATTTAATTGATTTTTTTTTGCTTAGAATTAAAAAAGTGTTTGATGTTTGGATAAATGACAATTCGCAACTAAACTGTTGTGAAAAAGATTGGAACGGCCATTAATTTGACACTGAATTATGAGGTAACATTATCGTAACAAGAGTTAAGTGTAAAACAAGTAAAGACACTTTTATAGAATGAATGCTCAGCGCATTTCCAGTGGCAGTTACTGTAATCCTATCGGTTGCGACATTTTTAAACTATTAAAAGAAAGTAGGTTTCAGAGCGAGGCATACTATTTATTTTTATTTTTTTTGTTAGGACAAATAAGTCGTTTTTATCAAAACATAAGAGGGGGGAAGAGCTAACGATAGCAAAATTGTGAAAAATTGCAATTAAGATCATAAAAAATTCATGATAAAAATTATTTAACAAAGATTTTAATTAATTCAAGATTTTTTTATCCAAAACAAATATATTTGTGCTTATATTTGGACTTCGTCCAAATGGCCACAATAAATAATTAAATAAATTAAAATTAAATGAATAAATAAAAATTAATTAAATAAAGGGCGCCAACAGGATTTTATAACGCGGTTTCTGAAATCGGAAGAACAGAGAGATAACCAACAGGGTCGAGAAAGTGGAAGATAGGCTGTTGAATTATAAAAACAATTAATTAATAATTGATCGATCTTTATTAACAATAATAATTCATCTTCTTGATTTGAATGAAGTAAATTTCACTTGATTCAAGAATTGTTCATTTTGATTCAAAACAATGAAACTTTTAAAAATTATTTTCTTGGTTCAATAATTTTCTCTTGAATCAACTTAATTTTTTTTTATGCAGAAAAAAAAAGTTTGGAAAATCCAAAAGTGCACGACTCATAATCTTCATTTAATCGTGGAATATTAATAAAATAAAGAATGTGAAAAAAAATATATAAGACAACTAATGTGCAAACGCCTGTATAGTTGGATAAATGTACACGATATTTAAAGATATACAGTTTTTTGGTTTTTGTTTTATTTTATTAATTGTACATAAACGACACTAAATTACCTAGCCATTCACATTCGATGACCTATAATTCTTTTAAAGAATTAAAAAAAAAATTTAACTCAATTAATGGATTTTCTCGCAAGTTGCAGTGTCTTCAGAGTTTCATACAAGACAGACAGGAATTATTTTTGACCTATTTTTATGTTTTTTCCTTTCTATTGCGCTAAATCAATTTTTCAAAAGTATTAAATTAATCTCCATTAAATTATTTTGACAATAGTATGCAAAATATCTTGATTCCGTGCGAACTAACAAGACTATAATAATAATAAAAATAGTTGCCGAAATGAGGCGAAAAAATTTTTCGATATTAAAGCACTCTCTGATGCTTCGCATTATGAGTCGTGCAATTTTTTTGACTCTAGAATAAATTTTCTTGATTCAAGACATAAGTTTAAGGAAATCCTTTCGCTCCAGTTGAGTCAAAACAATTGTAGTAGTCAATATACGATAAATTAAATTAAAAAACCCATAAAAATTCCTAAAATTAAATAATAAATAGTATATGAGGCATTAATCGTTGAAATTTTGAAAATAAAAAAAAAATAGTTAAATACAAAAATTATTAATTTGACTCTTTCAAAACAGCTGCAAGTAATCTGTCCGTGATTTGGCAACGCTGTACTTCAATTGTTTACATTTTCATTTGCACAATATAACCTTAACCACGTTTAAGTTTTTGCAGTCAGAGTAAATAAATAAATTAGTTTGAATTTATTGAATGGTCTGAAGCTCCCGCGATACGCAACGTTGCCAAAT